GGAATGGTATAGCGGAGAGTACATCAGTATGGCGAATTGAAAAAAAGAAATTTCTTTTTGCAAGTCCTGGTTCCTATAACAGTTTCCTCATTGGGAAGGACTCGATGATTTCTAAGAACCCTGCCAGCTTTATATGGTGAAATGACATTCTTTAATAATTAGAACTGTTATACAAATCTAGAGAAGAAATGTAACAAAAACATGAATCCTCTTAAGTTCTTTTATATTATTCATTGCATTGTGTAGTAAGGACAGACGTACACACGTGTTCGAACACCCCAAATGATGCCTGTTCAGCTCTGTTTTTGTGGAAGCCAAGATTATGTGGAAGAAGGTAATCTGCATCCTGTAATTACAGGTAGTCTTCAATAGGCAATCCAATAACATACATTTATGTCAGAAAGTTAGTTTTACTAAAATAAATTTAGAACACAAAACTTTATTTTCTCCTTAAATGTGTCTGCACTTCCAAACAACTACGGCCTAATCCATATTAATGACATGTTTACAAATTGTTTCCGTAGAAAGTTATGTGACCACTAACTCTTTTTTTTAAAGACTATTTTTTCAGAGCAGTTTTTATCTCACAGCAAAATTGAAAGGAAGGTACAGAGTTTTCCCATATACCTTCCTGCCCCTACATATTATTAACTCTTTGTAAGTTACTTTTTAGCTATTATGTAGATACTTTTTTTTAACCCGACATTTTCTTATGGGAAATTTCAAGCATATGTAAAAGTAGCTACCATATATATCCCCATATATATCCATCACCTAGCTGATCATTAGCTAATGGCCAGTCATGTTTCCTCTTTATCCCATACACTTGCTGCCCCTCCTAGATTGTTTTGAATTACAAATAAAAAATAACAGTACTTCCTCAATATCATTAAATAGCTAATTATCTGAAAGTTTTCCTTAACTGACTCCTGATATTTTTGTTACAGTGGTTTGTTTGATCTAGATGTAACTAAGATCCATGGATAGCATTTGGTTGATACAGCTCTTAAAGGTTCTTAATCTCTACTTTCCCTCTCCTCTTTTATTTCCTTCTGTTGTTTACTTGAAGAAATCAGGTCATTTGTCCTGTAGATTTTCTCATTGTCTAGATTTTTCTGATTGACTGCATCCTCTTGATGTCATTTACCATACTCCTCTGTCTCTGTATTTCCTGTAATCTGGTAGTTAGATAGAGATGCTTGGTGTGATTGCTCTTTTTTCTGAAAATATTTCATTGGTGGTATTGGGTGCTTCTATTATGAAGCACATATCCTGGTTCTCTCTTTCTGTGATTTTAGTAGCCATTGATGATCACTAGTCTAGATCCTTATTGCATTAGGAGTTTACAAAATGGTAATTTCATGATTTCGTCATTCTTAATTGAGTAGCTAGAATATGCACAGATATATAGAGAGAAATTTTCCCTCGTTAAGTATTTAGTTACTCTGAAACATATTTCATACAAAAAAGACAGATTAAATGTTTATCTTTCCATTTATTTGCCAGTTTTCTCAATATAAGTGTAACATTTTCAAAGGTGACCACTGAATTTTTTCTTTTTAGTATCATTATGAACTCATGAATTTTGATATATTAGATATATTTAAATGTGTTCAGTTATTATTCTTATTGATGCTAAAATTATCCCATCTTTGGATACAATCTATTGCAGTGAGAATATTTTCAATATGGCTCGTGTGTAGTTTTGACATGGCCCAGTAGCCTTTGGCAGCTTACTTGCTTTATGGTATGACAAGATCACAATTTTGACTGAGAATCTTGACTCCAGACACCATTAACATCATTGCTTGTTTTCACTGTCCCTCAAAATGTGTATTTATATATGCCAATATTATTAATAACAATGTGATTACTGAAAACTGGTTAAAATTCAATTTGTCATTGTTTTTTGTCCTTTGGACAGTCATACTACTGTTTTGTTAAATAATTCCTCTCTCTAAGTCACCAATTCAATGTGGAATTAGGTTCATTTGTTTCACTTTTATTTTGAATTTTTAGGGATTGTTTTTATTTTTATTTAAATTTGTTTATAAATATGTTAAAGTTACATGGTTTTAAAGTCAAATCTACAAAACAAGATATATTCAGAGAAGTCCATTTTCTCTCCTGTCCCTTTCACTTTGTTTATTTTGCCCCGTTTCTCTAAGAAGAAACATATATATTTGCCTGTATTAAAACATATATTTCCAGTCTTAAGTAAATGGCAGCCTACCATGTACATTTTTCTCTACTTGGTTTTTTTCACTTATACTATATCCTGGCGATCATTCCATAGCCATATAAAGAAATATATTTCAATTTTTTACAGCTGCACACGTTTCTGTTGTTTAGATTTACCATATATTATTCAATCAGTCCCCTCTTGGTGACTATTAGGGTTTAAAGGTTTTTGATAATATAAAAATTTTACAATGAATGTGGATGTGTAAATCAATTTATATCTAAGTCTGTGTCTGGTATAAATGTCTAGAAATGGAATTGCTCTATCAAAGGGCAAATACATATGTAATTTTGCTAGTTTTGCTAAATTATCCTCCACAGGTGTTGTGCCATTTCACAAACACATATCCAATGGCACAAGGACAGACTGTAAAGATTTATACAGAGTATAGTTGACTAAATATGATCTAATGTTGACAGAAAGAATTATCTAAAATATGAATTGCATTTTTATTTAAGTTACTCTTCTGTTGATAGTTATTTGTCTATATAATGGCTCTATCTTGATGGGAGCTGCTGTCACAAGATAATATTTGCTAAATCTAATCTAGTACGATTATACAATGGAAAATTATTAGTATTCAAACACATTCTCATTTATAAGGGACAATTATCTATGAAGCCAACTTGCTTCCACATGCTTCACCTTTTCATTAGAAACTTAACAGGAATAGAAATTATAAATTTGTTCATTGTCCATACCTCATATGAGACATTAGCCTTTTTCATCGTAAGCCATAACCTATACATTATGTAACCATCTCAGAGAGTCACTAACTTTTAGACTAAAGAATAATGAAATTTTTTAAAATGTCATTTTCAATGCTTAGATTTGCTTCTTAAGGATGTCGTAGCATGGATTGATATTATACTCCTCTGGCTTCAAGCTGTTGAGTGATTTGTAATGAGGTGACTGACAAAGTAATAGTCCTGAAGCCTTCTTAAACCACTACTCCTAAATCTACTTCTCTTTATCAATATAATGAGGGGAGAATTAATTTTAAAAGGTGGTGACTATTGATTACTTAATGGCAGAAGATAGTGAAGAGAAATGCTGAAGGGAGCCTGTTCTGTGCCCTCCTGGGCAACACGACCCATTATCCAGTGGTGGAAATCATGCTGTAACCTTCATTAATATTTAATAGGCAGGATGCAGGCTGGATGTAGGCTACAAAATTGCCCTAGGCATAGGCTCCGAGAGGCCATAAGAATGTTCCAAGTATATAAAAGAGTAACAAATTTCCCTGTGTTCAGATTGTTTATAAGCAGCACAACAATACACTCAATTCCTTTTTTGTGATCTCTGGGCATTGATGGCCTGGTGGAAATGCCTACTAGGCAAGTTGAAGTGATTAATTCTCTGTGAAGTGACTCTAGGTTAGTAAGCCCTGCATGAGAAAACTTTGTATTTTCCAGTGTGGTGCTCAATTTCAGCCCTTCTCTTTCTCTCCTCTTGCCACAAGCTGAAGGGCTTGTTCAGCAGGGGTGGCAAGTCAGCAAAAGGCGTTAATTGTGTCTAACACAGCCATCATCCTTGGGGCGACATTCTGCATCACGCTGTCTATCAAGTTAACCCCCTGTCACATGTCAGGATCTTTTTATTTCAGTTCATTTAAAAGGGAAACAAGGAGTTTTAAAGATAGCTGGTGGGGAGACATGAGTATAAGAGTGCCTGTAAGGACTAAGAGCCTTTGAAGCTGACGAACTAAAATGGGCTGTGACTTCTGAAAGGACAATACAAGGTTTTATAGATTACTGACTCCCTTTATTAACTTTTCAAATCACCAGGTTATTTTTCAGTACCATGAGCTTATTTTGAAAATATTATAAGCTTGAAATGAGATAAAGTCCTTAAGATAGAATATATTCTTAGGATATATGGGTATACAAAGGACATAATATCAGATATCCACCCTCCCAAACAATGTATAAAATTAAATAGATAGTGAGGAAGTATCAATTTTTTGACCAATGACTCTAAAGAGTTTTGAAAATATGTCTAGGAGAATCATTTACTGTGTAACATAACAGGAATTGTTTATAATTACCTGCCTAGAATAAGTTATATAAGAATAAAAATTTAGCTTTGTAGGCAAAACGTCTCCAAGGGAACAAGTCTTCTATTAACATATGGAGCTTTTTCTCAAAACCAGTGAAAGAAGTTGACCCAGAGGTCTCATTGTAATTCCGTGTTAAATGTAGAAAAATTCAGTTTTATTCCCAGCCTTAGACTGTGCATGCCTAAATGCTGTTTTCAGTTTATTAATAGATCTGTGTGTATGCCTTCTCTTTCTGACACCCAGTAGAGAGTTTCAAATTATCAAGAGTTAGCAATGGGAAATGCATTTGTGTTCATTTTTTTTGATAAATGTGATCTCTATGGGGCATCATGGTGGATCTACTCAGATGCATGTTTTTGTTTTGTTCTTGTTATTCATTTAGTAGTTGGTTGGTTGGTTAGTAATACTTGCCATTTCCAGGAGCAAAAGTAACACTGTAAATTAAAAATAATTTAATAGATTTTCTCGGAGGTGCCTAACACTCTAACTTAAAACATATGAAGACATTTATCAGCTATAAATATTACAATGTTAATAATAGTTATACCTTCAGTGCTTTCAGATATTCCAGAGCGAAGAGCTTTTTAATCTTGTATCTGCGAGAGTCCCATGCTTGTCTGACCAGAATCTATTCAGCAGCATTAGCAGTGAACATCACAAATCCTAAATTTCCTCTCCTTTTCCTTTTCCATTTTACAGCGCAGCAGCAGTTTTGGGAATTTTGATCGTTTTCGGAATAATACTGTATCAAAACCAGAGGATTCAGCTGAGGTTAGTATTTTATTCCATTGTTTTGAATGTTACACAAACATTAGGAAAAATTGTGAAGCCAGTATCACTTTTGCAAAGTACGTAAGAAAAAGAAATTTATTTAAAAATCATAGCCTTGGATATATTCTTGTGATAAATGAAGGATTATTTAGTACCTAGCACCACGCTTCGTGCTAAGAGTAAAAGGCTCTCTAAGAAGCCTGACACAGGTTTGAGAAGGCAGAACGTGAACTTGAGAGGAGGGTTACAATTTAAAGCAACACAGACAATCCCAAATTTTCCAAGCATTTCCACCATAAAATAATATATGTGTTAACTTTTATATAAATTGTAATTGCTGTAATTTGGGAGATGATTAAATGGCTTAATTGTGAATTTGCGAGGGAGAGCCTGTGGCTGCTCCGTGGCGTGCTCGCACTTCTGCCATGTGCATTGAAATGTCGCAGTACTGTCCGTTCCACACGCATTTGCAAATCTTGAATACTTTAAATGCAACTTGGAAAAGCTTCCCATAAAATTAAATTTACAGAATAATAATAACTGCATTTAATTGACCACTTACCATGAAGCAAGCACAATGCTAAACACTTTACCTACCTATAGGGTAGGAACTCTTAGTATTTTTATTTTACCATTGAGGAAGTATGTTTTATTGAGTAAGATCACTTCTAAATTACACAGCTGATAAATGACAAATGCAGAATGTAACATCTTGTCCAACATTTGCTATTCTGTTATACTATCTCCTAAACCACGGGCCAACTGTGATAAGTGATTAATGAAGGATGTAACAACCGGTAAAATCGCAGAGAGGAGGGATATATACTGAGAAAGCTGAAGATACGTGTTTATCATTGAATCGATTCAGTGACTCCACATGGGGCACCTTTGTTTAGATCAATATGTTTTAGATCTTACACACCTCTTAATTATTCATTCTAGTTATTGTATCTTTCTTTTTTCTTTTTTTATAGAATTTTTCCCATTATTGTCTAATTTCTCAAAATACTTTTTGGATTCCTATATGCATCCATGTATAATATTTTTAAATATTTTTATTTCAGTAATGGATGTTCTAGACAGAAGAAATGGAAATACAATGACATCTATTCTATCTATCTCCATTAGTACATATATATACATGCAGATGTATTATATATATATATATATATATCCCATTTTACTCGTCTATATTTTCATACACATATGCTTATGGATAAACTTGTATACAGCTATAAGCTCTATCACTATTTACATAATTGTAGATAACACAGTGCGGTATATGCATATAAATAGTGCAAAGCCCTGTATGTTTTATTTTGTTAGCATGTCATATAGACCTTTAACTTTCCATAATCATATGTAGATATGTCCTACTGTTATTCAGTTTCTAATTCTAGAGTTAACCTATAAAAGTTGGTCATGCTCATTCAAGTTCATTAATGAGTAATGGTGGCCTAATAACTTGTGAACCTGATAAAGTAGTTCGCACATTTTTCAACAACCCAGCATTCATTTTGTTCAACAAATCTTTATTGAGCACCTACCTACTCTGTAACAAAATTTCTGTTAGATATTCAGAAAGTACTGTTACAATAACAGATGAAAATTCCTACTTCATGAAGCCAAGAGTCTAGGGGGAGACAGATCTTAAATTAACAATAAAAAATACATATGTAAATAAAATTATGATTCAGGCTATAAAAGAGAACAGCATAGAAAAGTGTTAAAATTAAAAACATATTGAGGTAGTTTCTTTGAAGCTTCTGTAAATAATGATAGAAAAACCTGAAATTAAAAATATTTGTGATACTTCTTTTGAAGCTTAGGCAATGGTAAGTTAACATAGGAAGTAATAAAATAATATCCTTATTTATTTAGTTTGTAATTGTACAATGAAGACAAAGTTTAAGTAGAGAAAAGAGAGAAGAAAAAGGTTAACTCTTAAATTCTAAGATGTTTCCAAGTTATATTTTATTCAATGGTTTTGAATTAAGCAAAGAATCTTGCCTTTATAACCTTGAGTGTAGAAATTAATAAAGTGCAATGAGGGCTTAAATTGGCTGTCCATTCATATTTATCATAGGCAATTTGGGGTAAGAAATGAAGCAAAACATAGTATTGATTAATAATGATGTTAACTATGTGGTGAAACCTTCATATTAAAATACCCAAGTTCACTAAAGAGAAGTTTCCTGTGATTTTTCATATCCAGGAATGACTGGCTGCCCATCTATCGAGAATGGTCGGCAGTGCTAGAAATGACCTTCAGGGGTCCTTTCTTGCACATCTGAAATACTAAGGCTATATAACCCAAATATGTCCTCCAAAAAAAAAAGAATGAATTCAAAGTTCTACATGAGAAATTTCACTTGTTCACAAAATATTGAGGGTCAGTTATGCTACTGGAAGTATTTTAGACACTCAGAATAAATAAAACATAAAGTCTCTAGTTTCACAGAGCATACATCCTAATGGGAGATGCAGGCAGTAATCAAATGAACAAATTGGGTAATGGTAAGTGCTTACAAGAAGAATGAATCAGGGTAAACAAACAGGGAATATGGACAAGTGTGTGGGCTATTTTAAAGAGGGTGATCAGTCTGCAAGTTTCTCTCCTATTACTTGGCATGCGAGTAGAAACTCGGATGAACAAAGGAAGACTTTTGTGGATATCTAGGGGAGGCCAATGGCAAGAGCAAGTGCAAACCTTGATGGGAACATGAGAGAAACAGCAAGGGGTCTAGTATGGCAATACTTAATTAGAGTTGTGTTCAAGCTTTAGCATGTGTCAGAATCACTTGAAAAGTTTGTTATAACACAAACCGTCCCCAAGTGATGCTGATGCTCCTGGTCTTGGGACCACATTTTGAGAACCACTGCTATAGTGAGCAAGGGAAATCTGAGAAGTAGCTAGAGGTGAGATGGTGAGCATATTTTATTTCCTATACACTCTATATAATGTAATGTGTATTACATTATAATACATATTATATTAATTATATCACATTATTTTATGTTATATTATAGATCCTTGTGGGCTGTGAACTTTGCTTTATTCTTTGTTAGATGAGAAGTTATTGGTTTAACAAGATTTTTGATAAGCACAAGGCAGAAGCAGTCCAAAGAGAGATTTGATTAGTATAGCATGTGAATTACATGAAGACTTCTATGCTAATGGCTGGAACCAGCTCATATTTGCTTTTGCTTGAGAATGTGGGAAATGTGCATGCATACTCACCTGCAAGATGAAAAAATTGCAGTTTCTTATTGGATTTAATTAACTCCAAAACTTCTTAAGAACTATCCATGACCATTTCAATTGCTACAAGAAGAGGATATTTTAATGCCTGTTCAACGTGGATAGATGCTGCAGCCTTTCTAAAGTCTCCAATCAACTATCTTCCATCTAAGTGGACATAATCACTCATTAGGCCTAGCATTTAATTCTATTTTGTCCATCTCAAAAACAGGAAGGACTAAAGTGGTGCAACCATACAGCTATTAAAAAATAGCTAAAATTCTGTATAAACATTTCAGATGTGACGCTCAGGTCCTTCAACATCACAAGTTTTACCCTCTGAGTTTGTAACATAGGTAACCAGGCCTAGACAACTTTAAAAGTGTGTGTTGTGTCTAGATTGAAATTTTGGAGGCGGCTGCACAGAATGTATAGGAAGTTCTCCAGTATGAAATCTCTCTCACGGTGTTTTCAGATCAGTGGTTTTTATTGCTTTATTATTTTGTCTTTTGCAAACAATTCTAACTAGGTATATGAAGGGGAAGCCATATGTGAAAGTGGAGAACAAAATAAAACTTCAAATAATGGAGGAAGTTTAGGTAAAAAAATGAGAGCTATTTCCTGGACAATGAAGAGAAGAGTGGCTAAAAAGTACATCAAAGCCCTTTCTGAGGAAAAGGTAAGTGTACTCTGTTAATCACTTGTGTTTTTCTATTAATTTTTTCTTGAAACATTCGCCAGGCTCTTCTTCTAGACATAGAAGTACTTGGTGCTTTATGAAGGACTTCAACATCTATTTTCCCCCTCAATAATTGTGCTCAGAATTTGGGTGGAATAAAGTACTATTACTCCCGTTTTAACAGAGGAAACTGAGGCCCAGAAAGTAGTACGTGAAGAATATGTGTCATTTATGTCACACCAAGCGGCAGTAATCATCCCTTTTTATTGCCAAATAATATTCCATTTTATAGATAAGCCACATTTTATTCATCCTTTCATGAGTTGATGGACATTTGGGTTGTTTTCTCTTTTTGGCTGACACAAATAATGCTGCTATGAATATTTGTGTTCAAGTCTTTGTGTGAAAATATTCTTTCATTTCTCCTGGGTATATGGTAACTCTGTCTGATATTTTGAGAAACTGGCAAACTATTCCCCAAAGCTGTTGCATCATTTTACAGTCCCACCAGCAATATATGAGGGTTCCAATTTCTCCACATGCTTGCCAACACTTGTTATTGTCTGTCTTTTTGATGCTAGCCAGCCTAAAGCGTGTGAAGTGGAATCTCAATGTGGTTTTGATTTGCACTTCCCTGATGACTAATGATGTTGAGAATCTTTTCATGTGCTTATTAACCATTTGTATATCTTCTTTGGACAAATGTTTGTTCAAACTTTTTGCTCATTTTTTAATTGGGTTATTTGTCTTTTTATTGTTGACTTTTAAGCATTTTTAAAGTATATTCTGGATACAAGTCCCTGATCAGATATATGATTTGCAATATGATATATTTTCTCCCATTCCATGGATTGTATTTTCACTTTTTTGATGATATCTTTTACAGCACAAATGTTTATAATTTTGATGTAGTCCAATTTATCTATTTTTTCTTGCTTGCTTTTAGTATTGTATCTAAGAAACTATTGCTTAACCTAAGATCACAAAGATTTGTGCTATGTTTTCTTCTAAGAGTTTTAGTTGTAGCTCTTAAGTTAATGTATGATCTATTAATTTTTCTGTGTGGTGTGTGGTAGGAGTCTGACTTCATTCTTTTGAATGTGGATATCCAGTTGTCCCAACACTATTTGTTGAAAAGACAATTCTTTGCCCATTGTATGATCTTGGCACCCTTGTTGAAAATCAATTGATCATAAATATACGGATCATAAATATGTGAGTTTATTTCTGGACTCTCAGTTCTCTTCCATGGATCTATATGTCTTATGTCCATTGTATTTTTAACCCACTTCAATAGAACTTCTTCCCTCAGTACTCCATTAAGACAGTTGTCAGAAACAGTATTGACTTCTGCGTTGTAAAAACCAATGGTCACTTTTCTTTCTTCTTACATTAATTTTTAGCTTTATTTGACACAATTGAAGACTTCATTACGTATGAAACATTCTCTTTTGTTGGTTTCTTTGGGCATTGTTCTGGCTTTTCTTCTTTCTTATAGTTTACTTTCTTGGCTCTGCTTTCTTTCACGTCCCTCCAAATATTGGGTCTTCCGGAGGCTTGTTCCTGGATGCTCTACTCACTCTACTCTCCTCATAAGTCATCTCATCCCATCTCAGGACTTTGTTTTCCACAATTGTATCTCTAGCTGTGATCTCTTTACTTATCTGTTGTACTTATACAACCAATTGCTTTTTGATATCATAACTTAAATGTACAGTAGATATCTGGAACCTAGTGTCCAAAACTGAATTATTGATTTTCTATGCTTTACCGGGAAAAATTGTTTCTTATCTAGTCTCCCTAGTAGCAATAGACAACATTGCCATATCTCTAGATGCTAGAAAGGAAGGAAGGAAGGAAGGAAGAAGGAAGGAAAGGAGAAAGAAAGAAAGAGAGAAAAAAAAGAAAGAATGAAAGGGAAAGAGAGAAAGAGAGGGAGGGTGGGAGGGTGGCAGGGTGGGAGGAAGGGAAGGAGGAAGGAAGAAAGAAAGGAAGAAAGCCTAGGAATCATTTAAACTTTCTTCTTTCATTTTTCACACCAATTCATCAGCATGTTCTCTCTGTTCTAACTCCAAAGTATATCTAAAACCCTTAATTTCTCCATGTAAACTATTCCTGCTTTAGAGAATCAACCTCTCTTGCCCAGATTACCATAATAACCACCTAATTGGTTTCCTTTCTTCTACTTTTTCCTCCATGAAAGCCAAAAAGTTCTCCGAAAAGTGAAATTCAAAACACATCACTCACCCTCTTAAAATTTTACGATGCTTTCACAATGTGTTCCCTTACAATGGTGTCTTAATTCCACTCCTCTGAGAAGTAGTGCCCAATAAGGGAATAGACACACCAAAAATTTATTAGGGAAAATGCTTGTGAAGGATAAAGAAAGTCAAGAAAAAATGGGCAGGGAAGCCTTCAGACTGCAATGCAAGTCTGACACCTGTAAAAGGAGAGGAAGAAGAAAGGAGGATCCATTCAAGTCTCACTTCAACACTGTTCTGAGAAAGCTTTGGCCAGATTGATGGGGAGTCCTTGAACTAAAGTTTTCCGTTAGAGGAGCCCCACCTCCCACCAGAATGGACTCAAATGGTATCCCCACTGTTTATGTCATGGGCAGTGAGCATGGCTTCCATGCAAACACAGTGGTGGACACAGAGGGGCAATAGCTGGGGCCCTCAGTACAAGAGGGTCCTGCAGCAAGAGATCTGGGTGGCACCTTTGCATGGCCACCATACATGGTCTATAAAGCTCTTACTGATATGGCTCCAGTCTACTTCTCTGAGCTCATAACTTAACACTCTCTTAGCTCTCACTCAACGTCAGCTTGTAATTTTCCTGTGGCATAACCAAAACTTATTCTGAGTTTCATTATTGTGTACTTGCTGTTTCTTTTGCTTGGAAAACTGTTTCCAAATCTGCATATAAGTTACATCTTCTGTTCATTCAGATCAAAACTTCAGAGCATGTATTATCTTATGGAAGAGGTCTTTGGACGTCCATCTAAGTCAGCCAACCTTCCCCCACCCTCATCCCAGGAGCTAATCCTCCCACATCACCCAGCGTTATTTCCTTCTTAGCACTTATTATTCTCTGAAATTGTCTCGCTCATTTGTTTACACACATCTCTCCAAGCACTACACACACACACACACACACACAGCCTACCACACTAAAATGTGCTTCATTAGAGCAAGGACCCTGTTTTCTTGTTTACCATGGGATCCCAAGTTCCCAAAAAAGTGCCAGATACCTAGAAAATGTTCTATAAACTTGTGTTGAATGACTGAACAAACGAATAAAGGAATGGATAAAAGCAGAGAATCACACTGAGTGTATATCACGTGTGTATTCTGAAGTTTGATCAATGCTTAGAAATGCTCAAAAATGAGAAAGATTCAATTACATTTTGAAAAATATTAAGAAATTCATAGGTTTTGTCCAAACTATCTAAATATGGAAAACATTTGAGATGTTTTCAAGCAGATGTAATTTGTTTTGAAATTGTCTGTCTTTCGTAATTTTATGCAAGATTTGCTTTTCACTTGACTAGGTGGCAAGCACGGTATGAGATTTGTAAAGCTTCTTAGATAAGCTTTGCTTTAGAATTGCAAAGTGTGCATGTTTTATTCATATCTAGTGATTTGGTAGGGTGCAAATAACTGACATGAAACAACTATGCAGAGTTTAAACTTGTAATATCAGATCTCAAAGGATTAGTAATGGCGGTAAATAGACGATAAAGAGAACATGAAGAAATAAAAGTGCTTTAACAGATAAAGCACAGATGTCAGTAAATCTAGCATTTCTGATTAAATAGTCTTGATATGATATTCATCCTGATTTACAAAAATGAACCATTATAATTTCAGTTGAATTCCATAATATGGAATGTTTCATTTAAAGAATTTTTCCAAGTATACTATAAATGTTTTGCTAGAAATTGAACTAAAGATTAATGGCTCTTATATTTTATGCTGATGTATTCCTAAGTATTTTATTGCTAAAATATGTCTCGTTTGTTAAATTAATGCGCACAGCGAACATCTCCATGGAAATCTGTTCTCAGCACTTAACCTCTGATATGTTTTCCTGAAGGGTGAGGAAGATGGAGAGGATGTCCTCCCATATCGGAACAGTGACCCTGTGATTGGGACCCACGCAGAGATCTCCCTCAAAACCAGTGACTCCATGGACAGCCTCTATAGTGGGCAGAGCTCATCAAGTAAGGCTATAAAATAAGGGACAAGATCCTAGAGGGAAGGCTGGGTTAAGTTAATTAAAACCAACAGATTTGCTTCTCTGGAGCTTGTATATCAAAATAATAACAAGGTTCTAGCTACTTGATGAGAGAAATAGCAAAAATCTAGGATGTGTTGAATCTATAGAGTTACTATTGTTTAAAATGATGCATAGTATATTAGATAGAAGTATGTATTATTTTGAAACTTTTTAACACTATAGTCAGCAGGGCTTTGGGAAATATGCCTCCAAAGATCATGTTGGGTAATTAAATCTGCATCCCTAAAATAAAAGCATATGCTGGGGAGAACTAGCATTATACTGAGTCAAATTTTTAAAAATGACTTGAAGTATTCAGATCAATAAAATCCTGTTCTCTGTCTCTTCTTCCCTCCCTCCTTTACTCCTTTCTTCCTCCTCCTCCTCTCCACCCTCCCCTCTTCTCCTTTCTCTCTCTCTCGCTGTCTCTGGCTCTGGTTCTTGCTCTCACTCTCTCTCTCTTTCTTCTTTTCTCTCTTTCCTCTCCTCCTCTCTCTCACTTTTTCTTTCCTTCCTTTCTTTTGCTCCTGAAATGTTCTGAAAAATGCGGAACATTTGTACCAATTCTGACATTTACTTTTTAGGTCTCGTTCATCATTAGTGAGTAAAGATTGAAGTGATATGTAAATACTAAATAAGAATATCACCAGTTAGGTGGCAAAAAGGAATCAACATATGTTTAACAAGGATCTTCTAAAAGCAGTGGTATTTTTGTAGGAGGAAATCACTCAGGATTCAGTCACATATCTGCTACAATCTTTGAATGAAAGTACTGATACTGCAGGGCGCCTTATAACTTTTTATGTGTACACTGTTAGACATCCCTCTAATCTTTTCAGGGCTTTTAAATGTTTTTTGCAGTTTATTTTCGATTTCCTTTTAAATCAACGGCTTCTGTTATTTGAATATGGATCACAAAGACCAGATGTTTCAAATATCCTGAATTTTATTCCTATTTTCTTATTGGCTGTAGAACAGTTATTTTGTGAAAAAAAGCTAATGCAGAAACATTTGAGGGATATGTTTTTGCATGTGTGAAATTTAGATTTCATTAGTATTCATTTCTGTTGGAAGTTTTAAAATTCTAATTGCGATGCTGAATGTAGGAAAGAATTTTATTAAATGAAATGTACCATGAAAAAGCAGGGCCTGGGGTGACCATGGAAGGGAGGGTGTGAAGAGATGATAGTCCATTTAGCTGTTATCATATGCAACTTAATTTCCGTGATTAGAAGTAATTCATCTTTCTTTTACACCAGTTCATATATAGTATGGAGCATCTCCAAGGTCTTTACCTTTTTTCCATGATTATTTGAATGAATTCTAGAGAAAGCAGGACTCTACCTTATTGAACAGAGGGCTGAAAGGTCACACTGAAGGAGAAAGTGAAGTGAGGGCTGACAGTGGGGGAGAAACTGAGAGTTACTTCCACTGGGAGCCATTCTTGTCCCCAGACAAGCAGCAAAAATGGAATCTCTTTTCTTAGTTTCCCTGGAGGTTAGAACTCAGAGAGCAGAGGACGAGAGAGCAAGGATTTGGAGCAGTTAAAATGCCCAGTTTAGAACAGTTTTGAGCCACTTAGGAGCAGAGACATTGGAACACACCTCCTCCTTCCCTCACACTCACAGAGCAAGCAAAAGGGCTCCTTTTATTCATAGAAATATGCCTCAAAATGGCTTTGGGTACGCAATAGGAAGCCTGGGAGAGCCTTTTTGCTACGCTGTGATAAATTGTAAGGAACCTAGTGTCTCATGCTTTGACTGTTCATGATCAACAGCACACACAGATCAAACTGTTGCTGTTGTTTTCTATCTTTGTTTACATGTACAAAATTAATTATCTGGCTTGTACAGGGGGTTAAGTCTATGCTGTCCACCTCTTTAGCAAGTGTCTAATGCTCAAAACACGGTGCTACTGGATCGGATCATGGAGATCAAAGTGAGAGGGTGTTTGGGTTATTGACTGAAGAAAGAGTGGTCAGATTGGCTGGAGACAGGTCAGAAATGGCTCAGAGTACAGAGGTCTCTGCTGGAGAGTGACTGGGAGGCAGAAACGGGGATAGGTCACTTAGAATCCCCTCAGGAGGCTGGCATCTAACACTTTAGTACTATCACTGCTTAGTTGTGTTCAGACAATGGTTCAGAACGTTACAAGCGTTAGGTGAGAACTGTTAACCTCTGCTTTGCCTTCATCAGGTGGAATTACAAGCTGTTCAGATGGTACAAGTAACCGGGACAGCTTTCGACTCGATGATGATGGCCCCTACTCTGGACCATTCTGCGGCCGTGCCAGAGTGCATACTGATTTCACACCAAGCCCCTATGACACTGACTCCCTCAAAATCAAGGTGCGTGCATATCATATCTGCATTCCAGATGACTTTTCTAGTGCTGGTTGTATGATCTGTTTCAGGAAGTACAAGCAGTGGGAGCTGGAGGGTGATTGTGTTCTTCCCAACAGTACAACTGGAGACTGGTTTACTGTGGCAAGAATTTGAACAAAACCTGAGAGGTGTGGTAGAGAGGTCAGTCTGTTGAGGGTATTAGCATAAGATTCTGTCATGTAGATAATGCAGAATCAGAGCCTATCAGGGGAGAAGGAATTGCCTACATTTTTCTGAAAACCAAAAGCCTCACAGGTGGTTGGGTGTGTCCAGCTCTGCCTGATAACTTTCTGGAGTAAAAATAATGAAGCCAAGCAGAGGGAGAGAAGATGGAGTATCAGGCAAGAGCCCAGCAGACCAAAGGCCTTGGGAACCAGATTTGGCTGGGCAATTTCAGTGTTTCAGTTGGTTGCCATGAGTAGCTAGACATCTTTCTCTCAGTGATATTTGCTCCTGAATTCCCTGTTCTTACTCTTATCCTCTGTATTTGTTTTCTTTTGCTGTGTAACAAATTACCACAAACTCAGGGGCTTCAAACAACACAAATGCATTATTATCTCACCATTGTGTAGGTCATATGTTTGGACATGGCTCAACTGGGTTCTCTGCTTAAGCTCTTGCTGGGCTGAAATCAAGGTGGCAGGAAGGGTTGTGATCTCATCTGAGGCTCAGGATCCTCTTCCAAGCTCACTGGTTCTTGGCAGAATTCAGTTCCTTGTGGCTGTAGGACTGAAGCTCCTGTTTTCCTGTTGGATATCAACTGTGGGCCATTCTCAGCCCCTTGAGGCTGCCAGCCATGGCCCTCTGTGTAACATGGCAGTTTGCTCCTTCAAGGCCTGCAGGAGAAAAGCTCACTCATGTTTCAAATCTCTTTATTTTTACCAGACTAAGTCAGAAACACTCAGATAATCTCACTTATAATTAAAAAATTAACAAATTTGGGACATTAATTACATCTGCATAGATCCTTCTGTCATACAACACAATATAATCGTGAGTGTGAAATCCGTTATGTTCATAGTCCTACGTTCACCCAAAGGAGGAGGTGGTTACAGTAGTACAAATAGAAGGTTTGGTGCTAAAATATTATTCCTTTTCGTATCACAAAATGCTACAGCTAAAAGGATAGAATTATGCATTTTTCAAACTGTCAACACTAAACAATGTTAACCAATAGTTATGATGTTATGAAGCATTGATATTATTATTTGAAATTCAAGGCATTCAGCTCTCCTCTTTATCCCTTCCATGCTATCAAATCGGAGTACGCTCAGATGGAGAATGAGGAAAATACTATTCCCCACAGTTCTGTGAAATAATAGTCATTTCTATGAAATGATGACTAAGCTTAGGTCATGGGAAAGTATGATTGTAGCCGTGAGGAGAGGGCAGGAGAAGGGAACAAACGGAACACATTTTGACTCAGGATAGCTTTTCATCTTCCCTACAATACCGTGCAGCACACCACCACCGGTGCAGCCTAAGGTGATGCTTGTGGAGCTCTTATAGGACACAATAAGAATCCTGCGGTTACCACTGAGGAATGAATGCTATTGTTTCCATCACGGGTCTTATCCAAAACGAAACTGGCTCTTTCCTTAGTGACCTGTGGGCTTTCCTAGAACGTATACATTTTACAAGTTTAAAGGATAATAGGATAATGCCGTAGAGGGCTGCCATGCTTAGAAACTTCCCCTAGAGCTTCTGGGATTTTCTAGGTCTGCTTACCCAATCCCACCTCACCTAGGATTTGACTGCTTATAGTAAAAGGCAGGAAGATCTAGACAAACAGCTCAGAGAGTCAGATAGGCAGATGACCACAAATCAGAAAGACCAGATCTTTCAATCACATTGAATTCTACTACTGCAAATATGATTTGTGTTTTAGATGGAAGAATATATATTCGTATAGCAGTAGGAAAGAATATTCTTAGTAGCAGACTTAATGTTTTGTTTGTTTGAGGGTAGACCCTTAAAAGTGGCAAAAATACTGGAATCTATAATGTCCTCTCTGGGGTAGAAAGTTATGTCTCAAAGGAGTGCCTATGACTCTTAAATGTAGACACTATATTTGCATAGAAATCAATTTTCTTTACAAAGAAATACCCCTGTGGGGTTTTCTACTCTTGCCAGTAACTGACAGCCTGTAGCCAATTAGAGTCTTAGACGTGAATAAAGAAAATGACCAATTGGTTTGTTCATCCCAATGTGCTTCATTCCTACTTCAATCCAAACTTTGTTGTGGAGCTCAATCTGAGTATTATCTTCTCTAGAATAAGAATTGAGTAGCATAATCTATCCTTAGTGCACATATACTTTTGTTACTTATTTGATATGTACAAAGTTCTGAACAGTTCCATTATTTTAGATGGATGCAATACTTTAGAATGGTTTATTTTACACTGTAGATGAATTTTTCAGATGAACTAGAAGCACAGACAGAGTCACAGACTTCTCTTTCTTCCCCTCTCCCAGTTTAGGAGCCCCTCCAAGAATGATGGCTTGAGCTATGCTACATATGTATTGCTTTGACAGGATGAATGAAGAGCATCATTTCTGAGTTCAGACAACTTAGGCTTTGAGTTCTGATTCTGCCATTAACTTCCTGTAAGCTCTTGGGAAGTTATTTAATGTTTGTGGTTCTTTTTCTATAATATTTAATATAATAATAATACCTTGTATATGTACCTAAAAGATGTGTTTTGGGCATAAAATGACTCACTGTATGCAAAAGTGTTCTGTAAATCACACTGTGCTGTACAAAGATAAGTTGACAAGTTTCATATGATACCAAAAACATAAACGTCATCAAATACATGTAGTAGCTTTTCTTGAATCATGAAGTTTTCTTCATTATTACTAGTAAATAGTTTCCTTGAACTTTTAAAAGAAATTTCCTCTTAGATTTATTTCTATCTCTGAAGCACCCTCGCATAATGGCCTCAGTATTCTAATTTTCTATGATTCCATTCTTTCTACCAATTGTCATAGCACCAGAGTTCTCTGAAATCTGATTTGTATGTTTCTTTGTCCTTAGAAAGGAGACATCATAGACATTATCTGCAAAACGCCAATGGGGATGTGGACAGGAATGTTGAACAATAAGGTGGGAAACTTCAAATTTATTTATGTGGATGTCATCTCGGAAGAGGAAGCAGCCCCCAAGAAAATAAAGGCACATCGAAGAAGTGAAAGGGAAAAATCCAAGACTCTGCAGGAGTTCCTAGAGAGGATTCAGCTTCAGGTTAGCACACCTGTGACCTGTTCGATGTTGGTATAATATGGATGGAATAATTGAGGAGAATGGATCAGTGTTTGTCTACTGTTGCTAAAAAATACATGACTTACAGCAAAGGAAAATCTGTTTTCTAAGGACAGTTCTTATTTCTCCTTTATTACTTTTATTATGCAAGGACAGATCTTGATATAACATCCCTTGGACTAACTCTAGTGGTACTTAGCAGTGACAGTAGAGATTAACATTGAGAAAGTGCAGTGAAAAATGAAAAATACCTAGGAGAATAAAAGCCCCAGAGAAAAGGTGTAAATGGGAACGATAAAGAGAGTATGAAAGGTCAAGGTAAAAATCCAGAGAATTGAAAGAAAAAAACAAAAAGAAAATTATATTTTCTATTGGGCAGAGATCAAAAGCAAGTCAAGAAAAGATAATTAAATACAATTGTTTTAAAAGTAATTTGTTAGGAAACAGTAATCATTAAGCATCCATAATGATTATGTTAAGGAAACTGCGTTGTCTATATTCATAATCCAATTATTTTATTGTTATATTAGCAAACTTTTTATGAAATATCTACCTTGTTAAATGGTGTGTACATACCATATACCTAGCCTCACTCAATTTACTGTTTGCAATCCATTTCTAAAATTAATGCAGCAGTACTTTAATAGTTTTCAAAATTCATCAAGGCAATGGCCAATTAAACTTTCCTTAATTGTTTTCCCTGAATGATCTCATTATATTCCTGTCCGTAGACACAGTATCTAAGCCTTCCTGTATTGCTATTGGTGCCCCCCAAATAGGGTACTCCTTGAAGGAACTATAAGTTCAAATCCCACCTCTTCTATTTGTTTGTTCCGTGACCTGCGAGAAATAAAGGTCTAAGGAAGTGAAATAACTGACTCAAGAACCCACAGTTAGATGATGACGTCAGAGTGGAATTTTGGTTTTCTCTGTGATAATTCAACACTCCTTTTAGGACACATTGTTCTTAAAAGAATTGCCACTTTTTCTTTCTTTTTTTTTTGTAGAAAAGGGGCTGGTAACAAGTTCTTCCTGATTACTTAAAACTTCTATACTTCCTCTTCTTTGATTTTAGTAACCAAAATAAGAGTATTGAAATTATGAGCAAGTAAAATGGAAGGAATTTTTGAGGAAGTTGAAAAGCATTCAACTTCACTTTGCATTTTTATTCTTTTAGAGAACAGAGGTAATATAAATAACATACAGCCTCTGAAATCAGAAGCCTATGAATTTCAAACTAATATATATTGATGCAAATGATGGACAAAATACACCTGCTGAGAAAAGGAAACAATGCTTTTCTCAAACACATTGCTTTTATGCTTAAAAAAGCTTTTAATTGAATAGACAGTCTGGAATTCCTTAGGTTTATATAATGCCTTTCAACCAAAATGCTGCCTATTTTTAATACAGATTTGTGTCTGCTTCAAATTCATTTTTTTAAACGACTTCAAGAAGTTAATAAGGATAAACATTTTTACAATCAAGCAAACAAGAAGATATGTAGATTCATAAATATTACTATAATTACTCTATTAGAGGTATTTTATTGATAGATATAAGGACACACTAGCTTTGTCAACTTAGCTATTCGAGAAGTGAAAAAATGCCAATTGGAATGAATGATCCAGCTATTTAACTGATCCATGTTTTAGTATGGTATAGCTTAAGGTAATTATTTCGTCTTTACATTTGTCCTCCTACAAGGTGAGAATTATACAACATATTCTTTTAAGTGCCCTAAAGTTTGTATGTAGAAAACTAGTACGAGTAAAAGAAAATTAAGCAAAAGTTCTGTTGGCACCTTTGGTTTCCATATGCATTTCTACACTTGCTTTAAATCTAAAGAGAAGTAAAAATAAAATATTTGAATTCCACTAGTTTATTTTCGTTATATTTTTTCTCCCCCTCAGGAATACGCCTCAACACTTTTGCTCAACGGTTATGAGACTGTAGAAGATTTAAAGGATATAACAGAGAGTCATCTCATTGAGTTAAACATTAAAAACCCAGAAGACAGGATGAGGTTACTATCAGCTGCTGAAAATCTCCTTGATGAAGAAAGTAAGTGTGCACACCTACTTGTCTCCCTAGCTGATAATCACAGCTTACTACAGATAGTAATATCATTAAAAACAAAGCCCTGGGTGGCGCAGTGGTTAAGTGCGCACGTTCCGCTTTAGCAGCCTGGGGTTTGCCGGTTCGGATCCCAGGTGCGGGCATGGCACCACTTGGCAAGCCATGCTGTGGTAGGCGTCCCACGTATAAAGTAGAGGAAGATGGGCACAGATGTTAGCTCAGGGCCAGTCTTCCTCAGCAAAAAGAGGAGGATTGGCAGCAGTTAGCTCAGGGCTAATCGTCCTCAGAAAAGCAAACAAAAAAACAAAAAAACCCCACAAAGCCCCAGTTTTATTCACCAAGAATCACATTAAGCATTCTTTCTCAAAAAATAAGTATTTTCCTATATATTTGGAAACAACAATTCTGGTCAAGTCTATAATTAGGAAGAGATCCCTTTTTTCCTTATTGGACTCAGGAAACGAAAGGACTTTTCTGGGTCCCTCATTTAGATTCTGCAGAGCTATTAATTTACACGCAAGTGGATGTCTGCATTCCGAAAGTCTGAGGGAGTTAGAGACAAATATTTAGTGACAGCATGAGCCATTAGTGAGAAATGTCATATGCGACTTCTGTAGAGCAGCACAGAGGACGGCTCTAAGCTAATGAGCCTTCGCACCACACAAGAAAATGCATTTCATTACCATATAGTCACAGCTTGTACGTGTTTATAGTATTCTTCCGAAATGTTATAATAGCTTGCAAAAATATTCAGCTCTCGCTTGTATTATCTGAGACGGTTCTCTGTATTTGTAAGTATCAACTGAAGACGGAGTAATACACGCAGACTCACTCGTGGCAGAACACTGGCTGTCCCACCCGGGTTTGTAAAGATAGGATAGTGTTTGTTTTGATAATTGCCCAATCCGAGCACTCTTCTTACTAAATCTGGTCAGGTTCCCAAAACCCTGAGCTCAGGGTGTGCCAAACTCTGCAAGGAGTATTTTGTTAAGAAAAAGAGGAGGAAGTGTCTAATTTTAAAGCTGAAAAAGAACTCAGATCATCTAACCAAACTTCTCTTTCAAAAGTTATATTAATAATAATCATTAACTACTTTTTTTGAATATGTTCTCTGAGTAAAATTTTGAGCCATGGCCTTTACATTTCTTATCTTCTTTAATGCTTTCTACAATGCTGTCAGTTACATAGTACTGTCCTATTTTTTATTTTATTTTTTCGAGGAAGATTAGCCCTGAGCTAACATCCACCACCAATCCTCCTGATTTTGTGAAGGAAGATTGGCCCTAAGCTAACATCTGTGCCCACCTTCCTCTATTTTGTTAAGTGGGATGCCTGCCCACATCATGGCTTGATAACAGTGAGTTATGTCCGTGCCTGGATCCGAACCAGCGAATCCCAGGCCACCGAAGTGGAGCACTCAAACTTAACTGCTATGCCACCAGGCCGGCCCAGTACTGTCCCTTTTTTTTTTTTTTTTTTTTGAGGAAGATTAGCCCTGAGCTAACATCTGCTGCCAATCCTCCTCTTTTTGCTGAGGAAGGCTGGCCCTGAGCTAACATTCATGCCCATCTTCCTCTACTTTATATATGGGATGCCTGCCACAGCATGGCTTGCCAAGCGGTGCCTAGGTCTGCACCCAGTGATCCGAACTGGTGAACCCTGGGCCGCCAAAGTGGAACCTGCGAATTTATCTGCTGCACCACTGGGCCAGCCATGTCCCATTTTTTAATGAGAAATTGAGAAGATAAGTAACTTGTCCAAGTTCATGTACCTAGTAAATTGGAGATCTGGGACCAGTGTTTGTGATGTTATGCTATACTTTCTACACGTTTTATGAATAATAGCCCAGATGGATAGTAAGGAGGAAAGCCGTGTATAGGACCTAAGTCTTCTGTCTGTTCCTTCATGGGCTTTCCTATATCCTCTCTCATATGCCCCACAAAATGGGCATAGTTCCACAACATGTATTTATTACACACTGGTCTTTATCTAGTAGGAATTAACTGACTTTTTTAGAAAGTGTACCTCACTTTATTCTTACTTGCTGTCTTGAGTTTGCATAGATTTTCATCCTTTTCAAAGAGCCCTCACATGTACTACTAATTTGACTCCTGCAGAATTGATTTCATCCTCAGGCCTAGGTGTTTATATGCATTCTTTGAAGTTGTGGAGGCTAGGAGATGTGAAAGAAGGGGATGGGGCCACAGAGGCAGACAAAAGTGAAGCTGAAAAAAGGAGCCAATTTACTCAACAGTACAAGCCGCAACAAAACTTATCAGTGTAAATTGATGTAGCAATATCTTCCAGGTAAATGAGCCGGCTTCGTTTTCATCCTGTCATTTCAAAACATGGCTCCTCGCTAAGCAATGTTAAGCTAAGAAATAGATTCTCTTGCTTTCTTGTAATTGATAATGCTCAGTATCCTTGTCAATACTCTCCAACACAATTTGATACTGAAGGAGAGGCAAGGAGAAGAGCTGGTATTTTTGAATGCATGTAATAATTGTTTTTCTTCTACAAGACCATCCATGTAGATATTTTGCCCACTTTACAGATGAGAAAATATTTCAGAGATAAATTTCAGAGGCCAAACAGCTAGATAACGGCAGAGCTGTAGTTTTTCTTTCTTCCACACATGCAAGTTCTTCCTTCCACATATGCAAATTCGTAAATATGAAAATAACAATGAATATTTGAAAATTGAAGTTTTCTACTACTTTGCCAATTTTCTCAAGAGCTGCAGTTCAGTTTTTCGTCTCGGAAAGTGGAAGTTAATACTTAAGTGAGAACGGAAACTTTGCAACAATGTGACTCCCTGCAAGGTGGAGGGCTGCTATGGCCGCATTGCGACAGGATTTGTGAATAGAAGGGGCTGGAGAGCCTGGGTGTGTAGGCTTTCGGCCACGAAAAAGTGCTCAGCAGGGACCCACAAAGGGAAGACCTCTCTGTCCAGTGCCAAAGGCTTGGGCCACTTAAGGTGTTCACTCAATTTCTTTTTTCCAGCTCACTCATCACCCATATGCTTTCTATGTTAACAAAAGAATGATGATTTACGGATGATATCATATTAGAGCTAGGTATAATTTTAAAAACCACCTGAGCCAGATTCTTCCTTTGCAAGATGGGGAAACTAAAACTAGAGTAGCTAAGTGGCTTTCTCAAGGTCGCATTTCTAGAACCCAGTCTCCTAAATCTATTAGAAACACATTCTACTATACCTGATCTCGGGAGAAAAAGACATAGAATCTCCAAAGCATGATGTGACTTTCAATGTTCGATACAAAAAAGTACAAATCCCCCAAATTATTCCTCTTATAAAACTTAAGAAAATGGTACTTGAAGGTCACCAGAAGTTGATCATTTAATAATAGCCAGTAATGCACAAACATACACACACTGAGCCAAATTCCGGGAGATGAAAAATGGAAAAAATGCAGATTCAGCCAGTGTTTATTGTCAAAACACAACCCTGAGATTTTTCTTATTTTAATCTTAAGGTCTAAAGTAATATTAGAATATACATGTCAAAAAAGATGCATACTGCATGTTAGGCTATTCTGACTGAAAGCTATTTATCTTATATGAAACTGCTTTGCTCAAGAAATAAAGAAGAATGACTTCTATTTGTTGATAAGATGGTGAGTTCTGATGATTCGGCCCCATGCTGCTGCATGCTTATTTTTATCTATTCTCTACTCTGTGAATCATATCTTCTACAACCATGCTAAAGATTAAATGCACAACCTTCATGTACCTTGAATGATAAAGACCTTGAATATATGGTTATATAAAACCAAGACATTATTAAAAACAAATGCATGTCACAGTCATAAGTTAAAAATAGTTAGCTTTTTGTATGTGTGTGTAAGAATGGGGTATGTAAATTGGCCAGGATTTTACGTATGCATTTTATTTTGATCACTGAATAATGTCAGTTTGGGGAACGTCAATAAATTCCTAGTTTAGAGCTTCATCGCCTCCTCGGTTGGGAACTGGAAAATTTTGCTTTGCTAATCATTCGATATAAAAATTGAGCAGAGAGGGCACCCATTTTGAGGACAAGAGTTAAAACTCTGTGATAATGTAGACAAGCCCACAAGCCCCATGTAAACCTTCAGTACATCTAGAGGGACCAAGAAGATGGGACACTGGGGACTACGGGATGGGACAAGGACAAAAACAGAAATCTAAGACGTAGAGCAAGCAATTTCCCTTTTCTCTTAGGCCAAAATAGATAGCATTGTATCCACTTTGACCTTGAAAATGTAAACCGCATTAAGCTTTTTAGGTCACTGCTTGACAGGAGGTAAAGATGCTTCTCCAGGAAGCTGATAGAAGGGCTGGCGAGCGGTGTTCGAACCCGTCACGGGATTACCTCGGGAGTAGGATAACAGCTTCGGGGTTCTGCAGTCCTGGCAAGACCAGCGCAGCGATATTCTGAATTTGCTCCTGTGTTGCCTTAGAACTGAGCAGAATTAGGTCACTGGCTCCCTCAGCTGGGAATCTGGATGGGCTTAGAAGGAGAAGAAAAATCGGGGTGAGACTCAGCTCTTGAAGAAGCAGAAGAGCAGAATCTGTTTATTTTGTGCACGTTAGGAATTCTCTGTTTATCATCTGAATTTAAAAGTGGTTTGTTTACTTTGAATAAATATTCCCAGCCAGTACAAAAGAGAATAGCGAATGTGTGTGTGTGCTGTTTCATAAACACAAGCTTCAAGACCCCTGTGCCTTGCTGAGAAATGCCTCTTTAGAATAATAAGAGCGTTAACTGCTGTTTATAGTAAATATTTTCTCTTTATTCTAAACTTGGTCCTCTTTTCCCACATTTAGAAGCACTTTGATGTATCTTAAAAGTGTGTCTATGAGAATGTGTGCCATTGTTCTTGGGGAAAAAGGGTGAAGGAGATATCTTGTTCTGCCTGGCGCACAGGGGTAATTAAATTTTAAATTAAAAAAGAAAACCCAACAACTTAGTATCTGAATAAGTGTACTAGAATCTGTATATAATATATTTTAGGTACCTGCAAGCTTTGTTTGCTGTGCTCAAAGAGGAGGAAGGGGGACGGGTGGGTTGTGTGCCAGGCTGTTGGCACCAGCTGTGCTCACAGCAGCCCCTCAATGCTCAGCTATCCCCAGTTGTGCCTTCCTGCCCAAAACCATGCGGGGCAAATGGCAAGGCCCAGCCAGGAGCCTGGAACACGAGCTGCCAGCAGGGGAGAGTTGTAGTTATGCCAAGCAGCAGTCCAGCAGTTGGCCTGACAGCGTGCCAGGGTAGCCTGGTGGCCTAGCCCCTGACATGTGTGCCTGGTGTTTCCAACCCTCTTGCCATATGATTTGAATCTAGATTCAAGAAATGTACAGCTTTAAGAAAAGACGTGTTAACTATCCACACATACAGAGTAGAGAAGGCTCACGGGCATTTTACTTCCATGTGTTTATAAACACATATTTAATATTATTTCTAGTCATAGCTGTTGGGTTTTATGCAGTTTAATTTCTTCAGATTTCTTTTTGGTTTTACCCCCTAAGATTGAATTTTTGATAGATGCTGTGTTCTGCATAATACAAAAAACCATAAAATGAAAGACAAACATTTTACTCTTCTACCAGAGAACAACTCCCAGAGAAAAGAGTTCGTAGAATTTTCACCTCGGTCACCTAAGGCACTTGTAATTCCTGTATGTGCAAGGCACTCTCGTACTCGTTTTTATATTGCACTGTGATTGTGTACTAGCCATGGCCTTGCAATGATTACCCTGGCCAAACAAGACTCTGTTTATTGCGTCGCCTTCCCAAAGCCCCTAGTCTTGGGCTTTGCATCAAGTGGATGGTTAACAAATGCTTGTAAAATGAATAAATGTTGACTGAGGGAGTGAAGAGATTTGCAGATAGTAAGCAAGACTTTTTTCTGGTTATAAAACTTAAATCTCCCCACAATACATAAAAGTTTTCGTAACAGGAGACATGTGTCATGACTTATTTTATGCATATGCTAACCATATGTGGACGTGTGTGCAGGAGTTAAATGAGTACATTTCTAGAGGTAATAATGTAAAACTATCAAAGTTTAAAATGTGCATACTTTTGTATCCATAAATTCCAGTTTTAGGAATTTGTTTGATTAACTTAAACATCCAAAGGCATAAAAACTCTAGCTAAACTATTAGTAGTTTTAGTCAAAAACTAAAACCTGTGTGACCTTCCATCAATAATTAGTTAAACCAGTTAAGATATTTGCAACAATAAAGTAGTATAAAGATATTAGGAGAATGAAATGTGTACTGACATGAAAAGATGTCCAAAACATATTAAATGGTAAAAGCAAATTGTAGATCAGTAAAATGCAGACTAATCCTATTTTTGTCAAATAATAATAATTTTTAAAATAATGAAATTAGGTTTTTTTAACCATGGATTAATTTAACCTATAAGAAATATGAAATTGATTTCCCAAGGTCCCTAATTAAGCAATATATAATGATAGGTTTTAATCTTATTTGTTGATTATCAAAATAGTCCAATATGACAGCTCAGTGGAGGGTAAACATTTTCTGGGACCAAACCTTTCCATGGGGGTGTGTGGTTGGGCAGCGTGGCAGCCTAATGGTGCTGTCCACATTGGTGCTGGGTGATTGGCTCTTGAGCGAGTGGGCCTCTGCCCTTACTGAAGCAGCCAGTATGGTGGAAGTGGAGGTTGCCATGGGTGGGAGTGAAAAGATTTACTCCCCAGCACACATCTCGTTAGAGGGTAGACTATGATGCTGGGATGCAAAGAGAGGTGTGCAAAAAGAAGGGAGCGTCATTTCAACTCTATATTCTCTCATGGCCTTGGGAAAACAATAGCAACTGTTTGGTTTTCCATGAAGGCATTCCTGTTTTTCATTTGTTGTTGCTGTTTTTCCAAAAGGTGGGTTAGTATTCAGATGAAATGAATATCAAATATTCACTGCAGTTAGAGAATTAAAATGTTCAGGTAATTGAAGGATGTGCTTAAGATGAAATCACAAATAACTAAGCGTTATGCCATATTGGCTACTGTCCGTTCCTTCATGGACACCACTGCCCCTAGACAAATAAATACAGCCATGGTTACCAGGAGAATGCCTGAGTTTGGTGGGACTACAAAAGTGGGACTACATGAGGTTGAGGTTTTGAGCCATCCTTAGATGCATAACCTTGGTGTTTCCTCTTTGGAAATAGCAGGAGGCCTGAGAAAAAGAGGAGGATAATTCAAAGAGCCCAGAATTATCTTCGCTTCAGCTGAATTTCAACAAAATTCCTCATTTGATCTTTAGTTCATATTTTCTTTATCTAAATATCACATTCTTTTTATTTAAAAAAAATTGTTTATTGAGTACTTTCATTGGCCAGGCATTTTCTTATGCCCTCTAGATTTTATTATTTTATAGTATTTAACCCAAAGAAACAAAGGCTTTGTACCTAAGGCAAATAAGACAGTAAAGTCAAATATGGAATATTCGGGTAAAGAAACATGAGAAAGTCAGGGAAAAACTAGTAGTTTACATTTTTATTGAATCCTTAACTTTCTAATATGTGAATATAGGACAGATTTCTCTCCTTAGGGTATGAGAACTTTTTCCCAGAATTAGGATCCAGTTCGATTTCCTTAAAGCTTTCTTCACTTTTAGTATAATTGAGATCGCCCATACTTAATTAATTAAATGTCACAACTCCAATATAATTATTTTGTGAATAATTATATTAGCTGTCTTCTGTTTTAATCACCATGCCACATTTTATCTCCATTGATGACTAACTTAAAATGTTGAGCAATGGGCTTTAGACAATTCCATAAAAATTTTGGTAAGAAATAAAATATTTTAATGTTCAAATCAGTTATGACAAAATATTTCTAAAATAATTTTTAAGATTATTTTATTTTCATTACTCAGAGTTCAGAACTGTTTGAGACTGCTTTCTGGACTACATATTATGCTTGCTATTAGCTGACAGCAATAAGAAACATCATTTTACAAATTATTTAATAATTCTCCAATATACTCAGATTTGAAAATGTATAGCCTTTGGGATATTTGCAAACCATTCAGGGGATTTGTTGAAAAATTGTACCATTTAAATTTTTTGTGTGTTTTATTATTAAAATATGAAACACTGTAGATAACCCAAGAAATATAGAGGAAATGTCTCTAAAATTTTAATACTTGCATTTGTGAGTTATATACATATGTCTATGTGTTTTACATAATTTTAATAGTAGAATAATTAAATTAATATACTGATTTTCAACTTAACATATTATCAGAAACATTTTGTATATAAAAAGATGTGGTCAGGGCTGGCCCATGTCGGAGTGGTTCAAGTTCCTCATGCTCCACTTTGGCAGCCTGGGTTCACAGGTTCAGATCCTGAGTGTGGACCTAATCTGCTCATCAGCCATTCTGTAGAGGCATCCTCCATACAGAGTAGAGGAAGACTGGCACAGATGTTGGCTCAGGCCTAATCTTCCTTAAGCAAAAAAAAAAAAGAGGAAGATTGGCAACAGATGTTAGCTCAGGGTGAATCTTCCTCACCAAAAAAAAAAAAAAAAAAAAAAAAATGCACTCAGATATCCTATGCAAGTCTGTAATTTTGGAGGCAAATTGTATCAATTTGAATGTGTTACTTGTGTAGTTAGTTCACATGATTGGACCATGTGAAACTGATGAAGGTTATAGTTTCAATTTCTAGGTAGGTCAGTTAGCTTTCCTCTGTTTCACGGCCACATGAAGAGACTAAACAACTTAGAAAGAAAATGTGGATGCATTAGTGTAAATTCATCGCCTCTGCTGGAAAAACCACCCCTAGCACAAGGCCTAGGTTTGTGCCAATCCCTAAGCCATTAGTGTCAAGATGAAAAAAAAAAAAACAAGAGAAAAATCTTGACCCTCCAAATACGAAGGTTGAATGCTATGTAGCTTTCATTTCCCAATATAACATAATGACCTGCCTTTTCTTTTTATAGTTACAGTTGAGGGGCTCCAGCTGATCACCTGCCCGAAATTATTGCGAGCCTGGTGGGGAGCATTTGAGGAGGCAGAGTCATGCTTTCATTTCACCAGGAAATCATTTAGCACATTACTGCTTTTCTGTAAATTACTGTGCTGCATAACTTTCATACTGAGAAACTATTTCCTTTTTCCATAAAAATTTCAGATGAAAGGTTTCTACAGTAAATAATCTGTATTTAAATAAACTAATCCCTAGACTTTAGAGAAGGCAATATGATGTTTCTCAGGTGGAAATAAAAACAAATACATTTTTATTACTAATATAAAAAAATAACCTATTCTCTGTTAAAGTCAGATTTTCATCTATTGTTTGTTTACTTTGTGTTACCCTTTGAAGTGAGTGTATAAAGTCTTCTGAGGAGGAAATGACAAGCTAAGTACTGTTTTTTGAAAGAAAAAGAGCTAATTTTGGAAATCAGAGTTCTTTACGCCTAAGTTTTATATCTTGAAGAGAGCCCCACAGTCAGTAATCAACCTAAGTAGAACCTGATATTGGGAGCAGTTTTTATTATGCCAAGTCCTGTATAGGATGTCAGTGTGAAGGGAGGTAACTCAGTTTTGTAAATTTTGTGCGGAGGTGATAGGTCCACATATCATCTGGGGGAATGTGGCCTTATCCCCACAACCATTCTAAGAGGATGGCGCTACAGATCCGGTGACCACTGCTGATGTGGCAGGAAGCATCACAAAAGGACTAATTCCTCACGGATATGCAGATAAGGGAACACAGAACTGGTTTTTTCATGTCAGTGGCAATAAGCTAGAAGAGCAGAGGCCAGGGAGAAAGCTTTTCCTCAGAGAATGAAGTCCCATTTCAGAGCTGGCTGTTCGTAAAGGAAGGGCTTGGAAACAAAGGTGAATGCCATACTCATAAAGATGAATGAATGTTAAGTAGATTCCCCTTAAACCTAAAGGTTGTTATGACTAATAAAGAGAAAATGCTTCATGGTAGCTAAAATTTTAAAATAACAACTACAATAGGTGCATATGAAAATTAAAGCTCCTTCTACCCAGAAGTAGTTACAACATCGCTGGACTTCAATACCCGATGCTTAAATCGGAGCTAAAGTTGGGGCGTGTGAAGAAGCTTCAGGAGAATGGCATAAATATGGTTTCATTGTTGCAAGTAAAAGCTTTGAGGGAAAGGTTAAAAGAACTCTTATGATTCATTTTGAAGATGAGTGGATTAAGAAATTGTTTTTATCATTTTTCTCCAGCCTTTCTCAACCTGTGTTCCTCATCTAAACCACAAAATACGGAAAGTAATTTGACTATTTTCTCAGTTCCTCCATGGATGGTCCATAACTGGTACCATTCTAGATGCATTGGTGAGAAGTTAATTCATTACGTGCAAGGATGCTTTGGGACACCAGGGCTCAATCTTTCTTGTCACAGAGGCTGATAACAATTGAATACACAGTGGACCATAAACTCATGTTAGCAAGATATCTGGAGCCTAGAAAATGCGTTTAAAAAGCAGGAGATGTGTAGAGAAGATAAAAGGTGGATTTCCTAAAGATAAATTACTTAGCATTAAGTAATGCCTATTGAGGAAAATTACACGATTTCATTCTTCCAAGGATTTAGAAGTTGGGATTTACTTTTTTCTCACTGGAATGGGATGAAGGGCATAACCTCTGAAGGCAGAGGTCTTATCCCACCCTGAAATGTGTGTGTTCCATCCTTCCTATGGAGGGCTATTCAAATGTCCAAAATGGGGAAGTCCTGAGGTTAGAAGGTGAAGGAGCCAGACGTGCTGACAGGTGGTGGCCTAAGATCCATCTCTTCTCTGATGAACTCGGCTCGTGATGCAGAGAAACACCCAATTACTGGTGTCAGGGAAGGAAAAGAAAGAAACTTTACAGTGACAAAGAGAAAACTGATGCTAAAGATTCTTGAGAAGAGTAAAACTTTATAGGGCTGCTTAGGTTCTTTAGAAATGTCTTCTCTTAAATTAAATTCTTTTCTAGAATAATGCCTATTGAATGTAGAATACTGCTTTGATGACACAAAATTACCAATCTGAACATACGTGATTGTTATTCAGAACTACAGACAAAGGCGTAGAAGACTAAACAGTCATGAGGCAGAGCCAGTGGAAGTATTGATGTTTCACTGTCTAAAAGCAACCTGGTTTCTATGTCTATTTTTCTGATGAATGGAAACATAGGAAAATTCTAGAAACTTCAAGTTTTATTAGTTAAATCCCAAGTAATTGAAATCCTACTGTACATCACAGTGATCTTTTATTTATTAATCCACATTCTCATGATTCTGGGATCGTGCACAAAGATCACTATTGACTTGGATTGTACATTTAAACTACCAGTGACTTTTTCTAACATTACTTTAAGGAGTATTTGGACAAGGCATCAGTCACACTGTGGATACAATCTGCTTTCTCTGGCAACTTATCATTAACATAGAATGGGAGTCCATAGCGATCTCACTTAGGCAAGCAGTTCACATGAATTCCATGAAACTGCAAGTGAACAACAAAAGGCAAACTTGGTCTTGTAAGAAAACAGTGGCTTGAATATCTGGGTGCAAATATCTCTTCTATAATAAGCAAATAAATCTCAATTACAGAAGTTTCAATTGTAATGAAGTCAAGGTTGGAGCAGTTAAAACAGGATAATGTGCAAAGATGAACAAGCCAAACTTTTCTTGGCTTTGCCTAACTGCTGCCCTCTTTTCCACTTACAGCTATTCAGGAAGAAGAAGATGAATCTGTGCCCCTAACCTTAAGACCAGACATCTCCTTAAATAAGTCACAGTTAGATGACTGCCCAAGGGACTCTGGTTGCTATATCTCTTCAGAAAATTCAGATAATGGCAAAGAAGATCCGGAGTCTGAAAATCTGTCTGACATGGTACAGAAGATTACTATCACAGAGCCGAGTGACTGAACACACGTTCTCAACTCTATATTTGCAGAAGCATTCCATTTGAACTCTTCTTGAGCTAAAAGATGAAATAGGAGAAGAAAAGTATTTGTAGATACAACCTAAAGTTAAAATGTCTCAATCTGAATGTACATAAAAGTTCATATCTCTAGCATTCTCAGTTATTGTAAATAATATGCATATTTATTACTTTAAATGCTACATGTTAATATAGCACTTGCCTGTATTAGAAAAAGTATATATAAGTCTTTGTTATGTCACATAAGCTTTATTTGGCTTTCTTTTACAAGTGCAAAATGATAAATTCCGCAGAAAAAAAAAACCCCTACTTTTTCTATAACCACGAGTTTTGCATTTGTGCATATTATTGAGTGAATAGTAATGGAGCATGTGTTTGTTTCCCCACTTGTCCAAGCAGCACTTATTCTCATTCTGATACTTACTGGAAAAGTGTGAGTTAATATTAGAGACACGTTATCCTGATCCACAGTGGAGTTTTAGTAAATTTTTTTTGTTGATTTCTTCACTTATCTGATATAAAAGTATAGCTAGGGGCCAGCCCCGTGGCGGAGTGGTTAAGCTCACGTGCTCTGCTTCAGCGGCCCAGGGTTTCGCCAGTTCGGATCCCAGGTGCAAACCTAGCACCGCTCATCAGGCCACGCTGAGGCGGTGTCCCACATAGCACAACCAGAGGCACTCACAACTAGAATATACAACTATGTACTGGGGGGCTTTGGGGAGAAGAAGGAAAAAAAGATTGGCAACAGTTGTTAGCTCAGGTGCCAATCTAAAAAAAAAGTATAGATAATATATTATCAATCCTGATTTAGTAAAATTAATTTTAATAATTGTACAGATGTTTCATCTTTAAGTGTAAATATTTTAATTTTGAAATACCTTAATTTTAATAATAAAAAGAACCCTGTCCATTTGGTATTTTCCAGACTAGTGTTACTTAAGGTATTTTCATACTAGACCTTTAGACAAAATATCTCCTACCAGACAAGGTTTTACAGTCAGTTCTCATATATATATATGATTTCCAAATCAATTACCTCACCTCGCTCTGTTTCCTGAACCCAGATCTGTGTCATCCAACTCCCCGAATACCTCTACGTATCAGTCAACTCGGGCTGCCATAACAAAATACCATAGACTGGGCGGCTTAAACAACAGAAATACATTTTCTCACAGTTCTGGAGGCTGGAAGTCCAAGATCAGCTTGCCAGCATGGTTGGGTTTGGTGAGAGCCCTCTTCCTGGCTTGCAGGTAGCCACCTTCTCATTGTGTCCTCACACAGCACAGAGAGAGAGAGAGAGCAAGCTCTCTGGTGTTTCTTCTGATAAGGACGCTAATCCCATCATGAGGGCCTACCCTCAGGACCTCATCTAAACCTAGTTATCTCCCAAAGGCCACATCTCCAGATACCACACATTGGGGGTTAGAGCTTCCACATAGGAATTTGGCAGGGCGTAGGGGGTGGGCGTGGGAGGGGGACACAAATCAGTTCATAGAGCTCTAGGAGGCTTCAGCTCAACATACCCAAATCCTTGATTTTCTCTACAAATTTGTCTCTCCTTTTTTATTCCCAATCTACCTCTCTCTTTAATGGCACCAACACCCAGCCCATTACCCACAGCAGAAAATCATTTCTCAGTTCATCTCACATATGTCCTCCTCATAGATTAAGTAATAATCAAGTTCTATGGATCCTACCTCTAGAAATGCTTTTGTGCTCAAAGCTTTCTAACCATTCCCATGATTGCTGTTTTGCTTTAGAACCTCATGATCTCACGTATGAAATAGTGCAATAGCTTTCCAACTGACCTCTACCAGTATCCTTGCTTCTAATCCATCCTCCATGCAGCCTCCAGAAAGATCTTTCTAACACATAAATCAAATCATGTACTTTCCAGCTTGAAATTTTTTGATGGATCCTCATTATCTTTGATATAATATTTAAATTTCCTTCCAGAATATATGAGATCCCCCCAACCATTTTTTTACCTATCCTAAGAGTCATATCTTTCCCCTCTCACCTTTCATTCTACATTCTCCAGCCATAACAATTTGCAATTCCTTGAATTCACTATTTCCTTTGTGACTTTTCATATCCTATTTATTTTCCTGAAGTGGTTCCTGCTATTTTCTACATCCAGAAGCCTCCCTCTGTTCTCTGTCTTAAGACTCATCACGAAAGTCACTTTTTGAAACCTTCCATGATTCTCTTTGGTGTTCTCCTCTTTGTGTTTCTATAGCAACTTGTATCTCTGTTGGCTATAGCACTTATCATATTACACTTTATCTATTTGCCTGACACTTGCCCTTCCACAACACTGTGACCTGCTTGTGACAGATTATTTTGTTTAGCCTTTTTAATCCCTAGTGCCTGGTATTATACAAGGCATAGAGAGGGCATTTAGAAAATGTTTGCAGGAGTGCAGTGAATATAATGATTATTCTCATATAACAGATTCCAAATTTGTATGTAAATCAATCTACTTAACCTATAGGCAAATACCTTCCAAAGTGGCCTAAAAGTTTTTTAAACAAATGAAACGTAATTCCTTAGGAAAAATCAGGAAACACAAAGTGCTATTTTAAATGCTGGGGGAAAACATTACACTGTTAGTCTCTAGTATATTTTTCCAGATCCATGAGATTTAATCCCATACGCAGTGCCCAGGTCAGGAGTAAAGCACATGCCTAGTTCTGTTCTTCCCTCTCCACAGTAGGAAATAGTGTTTCAATTTAGATTTCCAGCATGCTGCCTACATCATGGCCCCACTCCTGCTATGGCTACTACTCCAAATAGATTATTCTAGGCCTCCTTGGACACAGCACAGCTATTGGCCATAATTTTTAAACTTTAATCAACCTGCTCCCTCAGGAAGGTCAAGAGAGTACAGCTTCTTTATGAAGATGCCAGGAAATTGTAGGTTGGGAAGCATCTAAGGAACTGCTTGATTGTAAAATGGTGGCAATCACCGGGGAAGCATACTCAGCTACATTCAACTGCTTCAAAATGAAAATCTGGTACCCAGTCAAGGATATAGGAAATGCTTTTGAGCAGAAGTGCTGCAGAGGTCTTGAGGAGATTGAAGCAGAAGAACAGAGATTAGATTCCTGCAAAGAGGGAAGGAGGGAGGAAAGTGGAGACACCATGAGGTTCAAGTTGCTGGAAGGATGGCCCCATCATTGAGCACAGCACTCAAAAGGACACATGTGGGGTCTGGCCCCGTGGCCGAGTGGTTAAGTTCCCGCACTCCGCTGCAGGCGGCCCAGTGTTTCATTGGTTCGAATCCTGGGCGCGGACATGGCACTGCTCATCAAGCCACGCTGAGGCGGCATCCCACATGCCACAACTAGAAGGACCCACAATGAAGAATATACAACTATGTACTGGGGGGCTTTGGGGAGAAAAAGGAAAAAAATAAAATCTTAAAAAAAAAAAAAAAAGGACACATGCGTAGCAGAAGTAAATACCACGCTAAGGGAGCTCTACTGCCTTCGCTTTACCTAAAGGATCCCTGCAGCTCTAACCTCACTTTCCTCAGGTTTTTCTCTTGACCATGGAAAGCTGGACAAACAGGAGTAGAAAGTCAAGAAATAGTTCATCCAAGGTTGTGAGGTGGCTGAGGGACTCAGAACTTCTGCTGCTTTTGCGTGGGAGAGAGACATGAGTGAGCCTTTTAAAAGTGGAAGGAAAGGTGGTTAGAGAGGTGACACTTTAATGTTTACCAGATGATCACACTGACTTTGTGTTCCAGGTTGAAACCTGGTAAGAGTCCTAGTCTCATTCATTTATTTATTCACTCAACAATATTTAGATATGCAACGTATATGCTGTCCAAGACTACGCCGATAAAGGCCCTTTGGATCAGATAATCTGCATTAGAATCTCACCGTAGCCTCTCCGTTGGAACCTACTAAGCCTTCTAGTACAGAGAGGTTGTAAAACCATTCTGGGATGCAATGATTATTCTGATCCCTGGGACATCCTACATTAACAAATTCAAGTATGTGGTGACAGCATGCATGGTTAGAGAAATTTTATTCCGGGTAAATGGATAAAATCCTCATAATACTTTGTTAGTAACAGCAAAAATCAGATCATTTAAATTCTGGTTTCCCTCCCCCCAATTCTATTGCTGATATAAACATGAATATATCTTCACCCTGAAGTATTTTATCAGAAGCTTTTCTTTTTTATCAATTAAATTGTCAAGAGAATTTGTTAAAAAACAAAATGTTTTAAAACTTCTAAAATGATAGGCAGCTAAAGATTATCATGTTTTAGAGGATGTCCAATTCACTGAGGTTGCAGTCTAGCACCGTGCAACTTCCTGAGTGAGGCCAATTGATGACATTTCATGTTGAGAAACTTCCGTTACAAGCATGAGTTCTGAGAAAAGTAACATGAAGAAATTTTAGACACTCCATCACCCCACACACGCAGGCACTTCCATCTCCCCACCACTGACAAAGAAAAGTGTATAACTAATCAGCATGCACACTTCAAGCTCTCTTTCATAAAGTGGGAAGTTACGCTAAAATTATGTAAAGGTGGAGAGCAAAATGACTAGGGACTAAATATAAGTAAAAGAACAGCAGCTTCTAAATTTGCCAGGTTTTGGCTATGGAAATAAGGTAGAAGTAACCGTCACTTTAAGCTGCCTCCTATTTTATTGCTGAATTCATCTGATCACACCCAGCGCTGACCTAAACACATACACTGGGCTCCTGGTTTGAAGACTGTGTGACTTCGGGCAGGTCACTTATCTTAGTTTTTTTCCTCTACAAAATGTAAATAAAGATAGTCCAAATATTCCATGTTACTGTGTTGATTAAATGAGATATCATGTGCAAAGCCCTCAGCATAACACATGCACATAAAAACAGATCTCTGAACATAAAGTGGAAGCAGGCACGTGCTACCATAATGCAGTCTTGGACTTGTACCAATCTGAAACTCTTCAGACACTCATTTTCTGAGGACTAGGACAACTGTGTTATCCAGCAGCAATGAGAAAGAATTAGCTGATTTAACAGAACTATACAGAAAAATGACTCCTTTGTCATGGCAATGTTTCTTTGTTTACTCCCGACAGTTTAGGAAGGGGCTATTTTGTATTTAGCTTTGACTCTTCACTCTTGGCACATGATAGGGATAATCATTTCTGAAGACTGAATAATTGAATATATAAATAACTGCCTATATTAGTAAATGAGTAAATAAATAAAATATTTGAGGTTATTACTGCTATTACTGCATCTTGGGCCCTGGGCTTTACAAGATTGCGTCACAGCTGATTGTATTGTAGCCAACAGAGAAACCCTTAGGAAAACACCCTCAATGTAGACGTTTACATTTGTATGCAGCCTATGGCCATTTAGGCAAATGATCTGCCCTGGGAAAGCAAAGTGCAGAAAGAGGCCCCAGGAAAATATGAGCTTTGCATTACTCCCCCTTCCCTTCTGCATCATGAAACTTCTCACACTTGAATTACCAACTGTTAGAGTATCAGTGTGTCGGGTGATGTATATGATAGATTAAGCCATGACGGAAGGATCTAAAAAATGACATTAGCATGTTCAGAGATCTTTGTTGACCTTCTGGGGTCCCTGGTGTGCCTGAGTGCAGAGCACTGTCTCCTCATAAGCAAGGAATGGAATCCTGATGCATAAGCCTAACAGCATCGTTTCCCTCTCTGAGTTCTTGGGCACTAGGCCAAGTGAATGGGCAGGAATGATTCCATTTGCAGAGTAAAATGGGGTGAAAAGCACTTCTGGCACACTTTGCCCATATAAATTATACTTGTTTGCAATTCATCAACTCCTTCTCTCCTTTATATCCATATGTAATGTAAATGATCATCTTTCTCTGAAGCTCCATAATGATGCACAGCTCAAAAATGTGATAGAATCAGCTAAAAGAGAGCAGATGGAAGTTTTTTCCCCAATATGCATATTCATAAAAAAATAGAGAACTCAACAAAAGGAGACACATAAGTGCTTGTACCCGGGGGCTGCATGGACTTATGTACAACAGTGAGTTGATTTTCTGCAACTATTCATTCTTGAAACCTTTACTCATTCATTCCTGCAGCAATCATTGAAACGTCTCAGGAAAAAGGATCTGCCTCTCTTTATAACAACAAATATATTTCCCTTTTGATTTTTATTGCACCTTAGAATCCATGATTCAGGAAGCAATGGTTAAATATTTTACTAGAGAAATATAATTAGAAGGCAAACCATGTAAAAAAGTAAAGACTTCAGTGTTCCTTTACCAATACAGACTATAGACATTTAAAAGCGCACTGTTATACTGAAAAAAGCTATTTGGGAGAATAATGAACTGTCTGGATGGCATTGAGCAAAGTGTTTTTGGTTTTTTTTTTTTCAAATATCTGATTACTCAGAGGCTAAGGTGGCTCATGCATGTGTACTGGGGAAGCTGCATTGCTATTAGAAATTTCATTAAGATAAAGAATACAGCATCAGGAAATATCGTGAAAGAAACTAACCATGAAAGAAATTATTTAAAAAAGGTTTAAAAAAAACACATAAGAAAATCATTCAAAAGGTGGCTATGAACTGTGGTCGCATAATCAAAGAAGTGGTATTCATACCAAAATTAGATGTTTCTGACTCCTAGTGTCTCCCTCCAGATCCACTCTCCACATGGGAAGCTCTGGTATCCACTCCGGGAGGCTGACCTGTATGGACTACATACTCGATCTCTATCCTTAGGTTCCTGTCGGGCTCAATGAAGGAGAAGTTCACTCAGGAGGCTGGAGGGAGAGAGGGGAGTGAGGTCAGGGTGTTTGTTCTCTCCATGAGATCTCCTTGTGCTGGCTGTCTCCCTTAATCAAAGGTCACTGGTCCCTTAAAGGTGACTGTTTGTATGTGACTCTATTTCCTTCAGATTCTAGTGACTGCTCCTTTCTCTTACCTTTTAAGGCCTAGATTTAATAACAGCTCTGTGGCTGTTAGCTCTCACTGCCCACACAGCCCTTAATGGTTCCCCTACCCTGCACCCTGCCCATGCCTTTGTAATTAGTCTCTTTATAAATAAGCCTTCCTTGAATTATCCTAATTTGATTGTGCCATCTGTTTCCTGTTGGGAGCCGGACAAGTGCGCTGAACCACCATCACTCATGACTTCGGTGACTTAGGTCATGTTCTTGAGTCCAATGAGCACTGCTTTGTGACTCCAGCATAACTACATTTACATGGTCTCAGGTCATTTCTATTTCACTACCAGTCTCCATCTTTACCAACAATCAAATAGCTTCAGGGTAGAGCATTTCCACTCATACTACCAAAACTCTTGCCCTTTATCATTTTCAATTCCTCCGTTTCATGGGGCCCACACCCATATTTCTCATTTTTCCAAGCAGCCAAGAATCCCTGCGATTAGGGGGACTAGTAGCATATAAAAGAAGGTTTTCATGGTGCATGGTGCAGTTCAGGCCAACCTAACTGCAAGGAACACATATTCTACCCTTTACTAACAACCAAGCCCAAGTCCACTTTGCTATGAAACTTAGTGTCATTTCTATTGTGACGGTACACCATCTACCAACATTAATATCCATCCACCAATTATGTAATAAAATAGAATGAAGCAAGTGCATATTTTGGCTGCTTGCTACTTATCAGAATTATCTGATGTTAATAAGATTTTTGGGTTTTTTATAAATGTGACAGCATATCGATACTGGAGTTTTACTAGCAACTTTTCATTTCTAAAATTCTTTAATTCTAAGTTATAGTTCATCTAAAATATCACTCACTAACATGGGTCTCTCATTCATAAAGCCTTAGGCCTCTTAATCTCAAAAGAGGTTATTGTAAAATATGGATGCCCAGATAATTTGCATGATTAATGAAAATATGTTTTAGAATATTAAACATTTAAGATGTTATCATTTAGTAGACTTTCTGACAGAAGTTAAAAGACTATTAGAATGACTGATGAATTGCTACAGTACATTAGCCCTCAGAACAAGGAATGTGCTAGAGGACATTTATGTATCTCCTTAGCATACTTGTTTTCATTCATTTTTCCCCCCTTCCAACTAAGCTGTCCTTTTGTGACCTTGGTTCAGTTGTACATGACCAAGCATAGGACTTTGCAAAGTTTTGAGGAACTTGAAAATTACATGGAAAGCTATTGACAGATGGAGAAAGAAAGCAATTGTATTAGGCAGGGCTTTGCACATAATATCGGGGACATAGTAGGAGACGAATAAAAAATGTGTTGAAGGAATGAAACACCTCTTTCATGGTTCACATGGTCTTACCTCAACACAGTGGAAAAATTAAAACAGAAAACTCCTCCCTGGTCAGTGTCAAGGTCGCTGACAGTTTAGCTGTTCATAACTAGGGAATACACTTTTTCTTTCCATTTGTTCCGAACTGTCTTTCAAAGTGAAGCTCCACCTACTGACATCTTTCCAGAGCCTTTTGTTTTTGATTGCTGCAGAGGTTATCAGGACCTATTTGGTCATTTATTTCCTCCTCTTGTTATACTTAAAGATGAAATATACCAGAAAGGACTGCCATGGTGGTGTTTATATCCCCTGTGGGTAAAAAATAAAATACCAATGAAAAGGTAGGACCGCAAGAAATACCAAAATAAATTCTTAAGGTAGGAGCAATAAGCTGCTTAATGGCCTTGCTTTGGAGGAGACAATTAACATTACTTTAATTTATGTGAGGTATTATCATGAAGTTATGAGCTCCCTTTCTGAGTCCCACTTGCCAAAGCCTGCTTCTTTATGCAGCATTTCCTTTATAGTGTTATTTGGTTTATAGTTTTCCAACACTCATTTATTATACAGCACCGTTATTCCTGTGTCAGTGAGAATAGAGAAAAATATACTGTTATACATCATCTAGAATCCCACTACTTAGTAATTAACGTGAAAGTGGGCAGGGCAAACACAGCAGGCTGAATAATTGCCCCCAAAGACAGAAGATGCAAATCCATAGACCCTTGTGTGCATTACCTTATTTGGGAAGAGGATATCTTACAGATGTGATTAAGTTAAGGATCTTGAGATAGGGAGATTATCCTGGATTATCTGGGTGGGCCCTAAATGCCATCATAAATGTTCTTAGAGAGGTAGAGGGAGATTTGATACACCATGAAGAGAAGTCAATATGAAGACAGAGCAAAGAGAGATTTGAAGATACTGGCTTTGATGATTCCAGTGATGTAGCCATAAACCAAGGAATGCTGGCAGCTACCAGAAGCTGGAAGAGTCAATGAATAGATTCTCCTCTATGAGCCTCTGGAGGAAGTGTGGCCGTGCAGACAAGCTTTGGATTTTGGGCCAGTGATGCTGGTTTTGGACTTCTGACATCGAGAGCTGGGAGAGAATAAATTTCTGTTGCTTCAAGCCACCAAGTTTGTGATAATTTGTTATAGCAGCCACAGGAAACTAATAAAGTAAGTGAACCATTTCCAGCCTTAAACAAAAGGATAGTGACCCCTATTCATGACCATTACTTGTAGACCATGGGAAAAAAAACTATATTATTAGTAGCAAGTTTAATACAAAAATATATCAACATATATATCGTTTGAAACCTATGTTTATCTTTCCTCTTTACTTGTACATGTGTTGTGTGAATGTGTTCAAGCAACTCATATTTTTTTAACAGGACAAAAAGATCCTTTAATAAAACAAATAATTTACGAATATGACAGTTAAATACAAGCTATTTTTACTCTTCAGATGTTTTAATATTTCGCTTAATAAGAGTATGCTTTCTTTTATCCCCACCTGGAATATAGCTGTTATGGGCTAAAGCATAAGTCAAGTTTAAAACGTTCTTGCAAAACAAAATCACCCTGATTTTGGCTTTATTAAGAGCAGAAGTTTCCTTTAAGCCTTGGAAATATATATTTTTCTGAAATAAAAATGATATTTTTATCATAACTTTATTCCTTCATTCTTTCATCAAATATTTATTGAACATGTTCTAGATGCCTAGAAACTGTTAGGCTCTGGGAATATCAAGATGGATGGCAATACCACCTGTTCTCAAGGAGTTAAGAGTTCAGTGTGCTCCTTTGGCAAATGTGTAAATAAATAAATCCTGATGAAATGTAATATGCTAGAGTAGTGATATAAGCAAGTGGTGTGGAAGCAGGATTTAAAAATAAATCATCCATTTCAGAATCAAATGATTCTATGAGGATGAGGAGTTAAACTGTGCCTAGAAATTTGCAGTATAAAAAGAATTTAACACATTGGAAAAGTTAGTTTCTTATTTATTCTTGTTGCCAAATATTTGGGACATTCATAGCCAAAGTCACATTCAAGGTTGTAGTAGACAAGATTTAACATCTTCGGATTCTGAATAACAGAATTAGCAAATTATAGTAGTTTTCTCATGGTTTCAAAAACAGCTACTTGTACAATAGAGGTTGCTTAATTAAAACTTACCCAACTGAAACGCCCATTTATCTGAAACAAATGTTTATGCTACAGACATCAACCAACTCTTCACTTGAGTAGCTAACAATAAACAATAGAATGATGCTTGATGAATATCAATTAAAACAAATTACTCCCCATAAACTTTGTCCTAAAAAAAATACATTCCTGCGTGGGCACATGTTCACGTGCACGAGTGTGCACACACACACAGAGCTTTGCTATTGTAATTTGTCTTCTTTAAAAGGTCTATTGAAATTAACTACATCTTAAAGATTGTATCTTCATTTTATCATTGAGCCTAGTTTTAGTCTCTGATGAGTCACGAGTTTCAGGTACTACCAACTACGTAATGGGAGATGGCCAGAGTGCTTAGAAAAATGGTGCAGTGCAAAAGGAAAATGAGGAAGCCCTTGCTTAAAATTATTAAAAATTTTAAGACAGCAATAGCAGAGCATTGAACCAATTGTGGGGCCTTTGTGAGAGCAGAGCCCAGTGCAACAACACAGCTTACATGCCCATAAAACCAGCCCTGGTTTCAGGTATTCCTTATCAATAATCTCCATTTGGATTTTCCCACGGACCATACTAGGGATTATGAAAATGGAAATAACCTGCCTAAAAGTCACATTATGGTCACATATTCTTTGCACAGACCTATATTAACTATAAAGGCATTGTTGGGCACCCATTAAAGTTCTATTATGATCAAAGTTTTTCACGCTTACTTAATTTTGCTTTTCTCTGCTCTATCCAGCCTTACTCACATAACCTATGAGGCAGAGAAAATGCTATGTGTTCACCGAACTGTGTCTATTAGCCTCCCAGGCATATTATCATCTCTTTTACATTCGCTTAGGTCCATGCGACCAGCTCTGGCTGAAGTTAGGACCTGGCCCATAAGATCTCCGTCGAGGTTCATGTCTTCCCCTCACTAGGTTTTCCTCACTCTTTCCTATGCTTCTCCCTCTCCCCACCCTTTGTCTCTATAGCTGGAAGCAATGAACTCTGAGTTGTGGAGCCCACTATAGGAAAAGCCTGAATCCCTGAGTCCTTTTTTGGAGGAGAGCCATTCAGGAATGCTGCTTGATCCACATTAGAGTCCCACGTAAAATTAAACTTTATTGTCTTAAGCCACTTATATTACCCTAATACTCTATGTTTGAGAGTATAATAGTCTGAGGCAGAGAGCATAGGGCCCAGAGCAGTATCAAGGTCATTGAGCGGTTCTGATACACCTTTTGAGAAATATTACTATAGTCATCTTTTCAGGGACTATAAACCAATGTGCTAGCCGATAGCTATGGTATTATCTCATGGCGTTGTTTACATTCTCATAATAGCATGCATTTGTAATTTTCAAATCACTCTTTCTGACATATTTTTAGAGGATTCTGGAACACTGTAAAGACTTCAAAATTCATAGCAATGAATTATCAGCGATAGAATGACCAATGGCAACAGTGACATTTTGCTAAGCATCCCTTCTAATCTCACAAATCATCACCTATCTGCTTGTAGGACTTACAGACCTCAAAAGTTTAAATTACCCAAAGAAGTATTTGGTTGAAACCCTGGAATTTAGGCTGCTAAGAATCTTGGAACACTGTTCTTAGGAAACTCAGGGCCTGGTATTATTGGGAGGGACAAGGGGGAATGGCCAGAGTGCTTAGAATAATGGCAAATGTTCTTTTCCCTTTGGCTCAAGAATGTCAGCATTTATGGGAAAAAGTCGATCAAGTACTTACTGGATCTGCTTAATCAAGCATAATTGTCACCATGTGACTGGCAGTTATTGGAAGCTTCTATATGAGACAGTGCCAGAACCAGTATGCAAAGAACTACCTACATTTTAGATAGCAAAAGGAAAAATAACTTTTCCTCAGCACAGGAAATAAACATGATGCAATTTGAGAGCATGGATTTTTGGAATGTGAGAGATTTGGGATCAGACTTCGTTTTAGCACTTACTTGCTTCAAGTTCTTAAGCATCTAAGCTCTAGTTTATTCTAATGTAGAAGAGATGTTAATGCTTACGTTGCAGAATTGTAGCTTAAACAAGCTTAGACGAGTAAGGCGCCTAGCATGATTTCTGCAATATTCCACCTCTGTCGGGTTTGTTATTTGTATTAGTGATATTATTATTACTAATAATACTACATTAAGAATTAAGAATGAAAAAGCACTCCCACCAGGCACTTTGAAATTTGTATCATAAAGAGTCCCACTAAACATCCTCCCAACCTCCTTAAAACAGACATTATTTTTGTAGACTTTTTCCAGACACACTTACAGTGTCAAGCATTTATAATCACCCATTTCCCCAGACTGCGAGACATATACTCATAATCCAAAAAAGCTTCAATTGTTCAAACACTTGTAAGTTGTAAGAAATAATAATTCATTAAATATTTATGAAATATTGAACTACCATATTCACACCAAGGGAGTTTAATGAGAGAAAATACTTCCTTATCCTGAATCTTAAAAAGGACTCTAGGGACCCTGATTTATATAGATTTTCCTAAAGTGTCCCTTTATACTACCTTTATAAATGTTTTATTTACTATACTTTAAGAAGTCCAAGATAGTTTTCCCTTAAACAAAGCTCCCAAATTCTTCAAAACTTAGGCAAAGGATATAAATTTAAGGAATATGTTTAAGTGCATTTCTGAGATATGAATTAGACAGTATATACATTTCTATTAATGAAAATCTACTGTCTTTTTTCAGTAATTAGAAAGCTGCCTCACACTTTAATGTGTACTGAAATGTTGATAAAGAATTAATTTATCCAACAAATTTGTTATTTTAGATCAATTAAAGTTACTTTAAATCTTGAAATATCCTATGCCTACAAAAGATCCCAGACTAAACTCTATGGTAGTATCTGAAAGATCTAAATATGTCTTTTGATATAAGAGAAACAGAATAACAAATATTTAGAATAGTTAGATGGCTATAAAAGAAAAATAGCTATTTCTGAATTAAGGTTGTTTCATGAATTAGGAAGTTCAATAAGTAGACTTACATTGCTGATTTTATTGTGAGCTTGCAATCATCAATGCCTCTATTGCCCTACCTATAGGATTCCAGCGAATATTAATTGATCGTTTTCTAGACAAGTAAAACGC